ATTATATGAAACATTAATTTATTATTTCGTCAATTACCTTTATAATAAGTAGCTGATCAGAAATTATTTTCTCAGGGGAACACCATGCAATTTGATTCCAATACGTCGCTGGATGCGTGAACATTACACAAAGTTGACAAGGAACAGAGCAAGATGCAATCATTGTAATGATAAATTTAATATACATATACCCCACTTACATATTTTACATAAGCACTTAGTAGAGGCACATCCGGAGAAATTAACAGAAGGAGAGGAGAATGAAGTGAAATTCCATTGGATTTGGGACTATTATATCGCAAAAAGCAATACAGAAGCAACATGTAAACTATGTAAAGTAATAGTTAGATGCAAGAATACATATAGTTTAAATCACCATTTAAAAAGAAATCACGAGTAAGTACCACATATATACCACATGTAAACTAAAAGGTTTATAAACGTACTTAGAATTGTAAAATTGATTACAACAAAATAATATTTGCTAAAGAGAATGTAATCCATACAAGAGTATCATTCGTTGAAAAATTTTTCAAATATGTGTGTCGGCAAATAAAGTATAAAACATATCTGTTCGTACTATACATATATAAATATTTTGTAGTCTTATTATGTACATTCCGGAATTTGAATTTACTTTCACCATGTATAAAAAGAGCTAGTAATTTTTGATCGCTATAATTTTTACCGAGGAATGGTCAGATTTATAAAATATTTGAATCTACCGGATTGCTACGATCCTGACCGCTTTTAATTGTTCCAGTAACAAGAGAGTCCGAATAAAAAATGATAATTTTCAAATCTTCCACATAATAGAATATTGTGCATAATTGGAAATAATATCTTTACACCATTTTTATTCTCGCTTCTTTGTTAACTTCTTGTACATATAAATGTAGGATATCAGGTCCAACTTCAGATAACGTAATAGATAACGAAAACAATTCAGATGGTGACATGGATGCAAACAAAGATGTAGAAGGTGCAGACGGAACAGAAGCAATTAACGAGTAATTATAATCCCTTTGCGTTAACTGTAATACATTTATAATAAATGGATCTTACGAATTCAACCTGGAATTTTTTATAGAAATATAATCTGTCTATAGTATATCTGTATTTTATGAAATATTTATTTATTATTTTGTCAGTTACCTTTATAATGAGTAGCTGATAAGAAATCATTTTCACAGGGGAACACCATACGATTTGATTCCAATACGTCGCTGGATGCGTGAACATTACACAAAGTTGACAAGGAACAGAGCAAGATGCAATCATTGCAATGAAAGATTTATTATACATGAAAAACACAAACGTAGTTTACATAAGCACTTGACAGAGGCACATCCAGACCAATTAACAGAAGAAGAGAAGAATGAAGTGAAATTCGATTGGACTTGGGACTATTATATGGCAAAAAGCAATACAGAAGCAACATGTGGACTATGTAAAGTAACAGTTAGATACACTTTTGTATCTGATTTAAAATATCATTTAAAAAGGAATCACGAGTAAGTACCTCATATACACCTCATGTATACTAAACAATTTATAATCGTACTTAGAATTGTAAAATTGATTACAAAAAAATAATCAATATTTGCTAAAGAAAATGTAATCCATACAAGAATATCCATTCGTCGAAAAATTTTTCAATTATGCTTGTCGGCAAATATAATATAAAACATATCAATTCGTACTATGCATACATAAATATTCTGTAATTTTATTTTGTACAAAGTGCATTCTTGAATTTGAATTTACTTTCACCATGTATAAAAAGAGCTAGTAATATTTGATCGCTATAATTTTTACCGAGGAATGGTCAGATTTATAAAATATTGAATCTACTTGATTGCTACGATCCTGACCGCTTTTAATTGTTCCAGTAACGAGAGAGTACAAATAAAAAATGATAATTTTCAAATCTTCCTCTCACATAATAGAATATTGTGCATAATTGGAAATAATATCTTTACACCATTTTTATTCTCGCTCCTTTGATAACTTCTTGTACATATAAATGTAGGATATCGGGTCCAACTTCAGATAACGTAATAGATAACGAAAACAGTTCAAATGATGACATGGACGCAAACAGGGATATAACTCTAAGAAAAGCAAAACGTCAAGAAGACTCATCTAATTCAATAAACTTATCGGACAATTTGTACGAATCTGCAGAAGGAACAGAAGGAATTAACAAGTAATTATAATCGCTTTACGTTAACTACAATACATTTAAATGAATCTTACGAATTAAACCTACAGTTTTTTTATACAAATATTATCTACCTATAATCTAT